TCTGGATTTGAACATACTTTCGACTGAGCATCTGTCATACTAACTCCAGCATGGGGTGCTGGAACACCTTACCCAAGCATTGGTTGCGAACTACTAATTTTTTAGCATGGTTGAGCAACAACCTAGATCTGAAGCTTAGACTGAGCATCGGTCCTCGATAATTCCAGCCTGATGTTATATGGCACATACTACTATCCATACCTGAGTTTGAACATACTTAGACTGAGCATCGGTCCTCGATAATTCCAGCCTGATGTTATATGGCACATACTACTATCCATATTCCAGCCTGAGTTTGAACATACTTAGACTGAGCATCGGTCCTCGATAATTCCAGCCTGATGTTATATGGCACATACTACTATCCATACCTGAGTTTGAACATACTTAGACTGAGCATCGGTCCTCGATAATTCCAGCCTGATGTTATATGGCACATACTACTATCCATACCTGAGTTTGAACATACTTAGACTGAGCATCGGTCCTCGATAATTCCAGCCTGATGTTATATGGCACATACTACTATCCATACCTGAGTTTGAACATACTTAGACTGAGCATCGGTCCTCGATAATTCCAGCCTGATGTTATATGGCACATACTACTATCCATACCTGAGTTTGAACATACTTAGACTGAGCATCGGTCCTCGATAATTCCAGCCTGATGTTATATATGGCACATACTGACTATCCATGGCACATACCTATCCATACCTGAGTTTGAACATACTTCGATAATTCCAGACTGAGCATACCTGAGTTTGGTCTGAGCTCGATAATTCCAGCCTGATGTTATATGGCACATACTACTATCCATACCTGGGTTTGAACATACTTAGACTGAGCATCGGTCCTCGATAATTCCAGCCTGATGTTATATGGCACATACTACTATCCATACCTGAGTTTGACCATACTTAGACTGAGCATCAGTCTTACTAACCCCAGCATAGGGTGCTGTCAGTTCATTATAGCTGCCATTTAGCTGGTCGACACCCTGAATGATGGGGGTGAAAAATGTCCCCTTGATCTTTAGGATATTTGACTGCCACAATGATCAGGAATAACCTTGTTATAACTGAGTCCAACCCCGCCAACTCGAGCCTAAAACCTACTGCCTCGTCGTATAAATGTTTATCTTTTAATCAATTGCTGCCACAAGTCCAAAGAACATGAGAAATTGTAACAAGAATTGCAATAAATGAGATTCAGGAACATTGTTCAGATTATTTTGTCTTTATTAAATTGTTGTTTTTTTTGTTGTTGATTTTTTCGACCAACCAACTTATGTTCAGAATTTGGTGGCTACATGAAACACATAAAAAAAATGATGCATTAAGTAGAGTATACCTGAACATGCTGTAACAAAAACAACTATGCTACATTGCATGGTGTGTACTTACTATCATGTTCTTGCCATACAGAATACAGTTTGCATTTTAGTGAGACCAATTTCTCGAGCTCGAAAACACACACTTATGCTAAGATTTAATCAAAACAATATTTACTTATTAGATTAATAGTTTTTCAGTGCACTTAGAATTAATATCTTGCACAAAAACGTTGAAGCTCACTAAATGGCTTTGCACCTATTTGATCATTAGGGATATTACGCATATTGACCAAACTTGGTTTTGCCAATATTTACATAATAAATAATGATAAAAAAATTGACCTTGTGGGCTTTGATATTTGTACACATTAATACAATATATTTCATTAGCATTTGCTATAACCTACATGTATACTTAGGTGTGCATGAATGAATTAACAATAGCACTGTGCTTGTGATTTCAATAAATAGTAACAATTGGATCAAATGAGTCCACATTGTATTGTTCTTAACCCACTTCAGTGTCGTGGGTTTTGCACATGATCAAGATTGACAATTAAATCAGCATTTTAATGGAAACACAGATATAGAGATTACTAAACGAGTGTCTGTCAGATACCATTTATCTTATGAGTTGTTTCAAAACGTATCTAACAAGCGAGAAAGCAAGTTAGATATGTTTTGAAACAATGAGTTGCATGAATACTAAAATAAATGGTATCTGACAGACACGAGAACAGTAATCTGTTTCTAACACACTTAAAATCTCACCACTTTTGGATCAAGTCGATGCATATTTTATCCTTTCTCTGATTGTAGTGGTGCATTGATACATAACACTCAGCAGACTACTTACTACACATACATTGTGTAACCCTCCACAAAAGAGTATCAGTCATATTTGTGCATTTCTAAGGCAACAACAATAATGTAAACAAGATAAGATCAAAGAACTTTTTATTAAACACTCAAAAGCCATGACTTTGCAACTGTAACTGGTTCTCTCCCAAGTGAAAATAATTTCACAGTGTGACGTCATTATTATAGTTCTGAACATGTGCTAGGTGATGCTCGTTCAATTTGAATACAGTCGTCATCGGAGGATAGTTTGGATTTCTTTGCACATGGGGCACTTGCAGTTCCGTAAAAGTTAATGTTGAATGTACCCCCATACACCGAAGCTGAAAATATTGAGAGTTTGTCATTAAACGTAACCTTTGTGCTCGACTGTGACATTGCGGAGGTTACGTTCACAGTTGAAGGGAAGCTACTCTTCGTTGACACAGCCTGCTGGCTTTCCCAGCACCTGCCACTGCCACTGAGGATGCCAATAATGTTTTGGTGTTGCGAGGATGAAATTTGACTATAGTTGTTTACACTCTGCATGTTACGATGACCTGATATCTGCATAATGTGAGTTGGAGGAATATTTTCATCAGACAGTTTTTGGACAAGGAATTTTCTTGCTGAATGTTTTGTGAAGTTCCTGTTTTCTAAACCAGCGTATTTTGCTATACGTCTGATAATAGAGCTGAGTTTGTTGCTACCAACAAGTTGCTGTTTGAACCAGGGGAATTTGCTAGGTGGTTCCTTGGTGTTAGTGGCAATATAGAAAGGTGTATCTGGACTGGAGTACCCTGCAGGACGGAGGCTCAAGTACAGCTTGTACATGGATACTGGACAACGGTCATCATTAGTCGTCCATGCTTTTAGGTGCATGTTTTTGACTGCTTCTCTATGAATTCAAGAAATTCTCTACCATCTGAGTCAGTTTTAAGTGCAATATCCCCCAATTTCATGTCAGTGTGTGGATAGACACAATGGATCCAAAAATTAGTGGTGTTGTTCCACCACATGGTGTTCAAAATGGATTTGGGATCGTGAGGACCAAGTTCTTTTGTTTCATAGAGTTTGTTAATATCATCATCAGTGAGTGATTCAGCATGGCAAGGTAGGTTACCCATTCCTCCACTCTTTAGTCAGTGTATGGAATAAGGCCAATCCGACCGCCTGAAACAGTCTAGATTTCTGACGGACGGTCTAAATTTACAGCTAGCCAGCCAGATGGTCTGGTAAAAAGTTTAGATGTTCCATACATCTGAGTAAATTCACCATATTTGCTCTGGTTAAATCCATTTGGGGCTGGTAACATTTTGAAGTTACCAGCCCTGATGTCTGGTTGGATTTTTGGCTTATTTCATACACTGCCTTACTACTTTTGGTTTTGGTTTGATGACAGTGTTTAACTTTTCAAATTCACGATCATTGATAAGTGATTAACGGTAGTGCTTTGACTTCAGGTACCTATCAAAACTGGACAACATCCCACGAACTGTAGATGGTTCATAATTGCTACCATCTTCCTTTCTGAGGCTAATAACAAATGTACACAAACTGTCACAAAGTTCTGTAGGTTGAATGGACTCGAAAGGACATGTGTCACCATTTGCAATCATGAACCCTTGCAAATACCTCATTTTGTACATTGTTTTACATTGTGTGTTTCGGTTCTGATTGTCATGAACAAATTTGTCAATTTACGAATGATCATGTAGTTGTTCAGGGTTTGGGGATAGATCCAAATCGTTACAATCACCAGGTTCATTGGTAAAAATATCATCCATCATCAGTTAATCAATTAAGTCAGTAGGTAAATCGATCTCACCACAAACTAGCACTGTCATTACAGTGTCAGGTATTTTCGCAAGACAATACCTTGAAACTCATCCCTCCTGTATAAGTTCTAATGTTGTACATGTTGTATGTTCCAAGAGGAGCCACAATGGAGATAACACGCCCTTTGTCTTTACCATCTATCTTCACACGTAATCGTTTACACAGATGTTACTTATTGTGGAAGCAATTTTGAATTCATGACTATGCCTAATCTGCAGCAACTACGACAATGGAAAAAAGAAAAGAAAACAGAAACATGTTACTATCTAAACTAAGTTTGGTTTATTTCACAAATACATACTTACTTACAAGACAATCACACATATAAGGTAGGGGACAAGTATACATATATTAAAGTGTTTGGCACGAGTAACAGGTCTGCATTCGAATCAGTTTGAAGCACAAGAAACATCAATGAATTTTAATCAGGGGTGTAGTCCGTCATAATCTAACCCTAGGTCATCACCATGGAGGAGCTGATCATGGGCTTGGAAATCGATCTCACACATATGTTTGATACCAGTTTGCTCACATGGGTTATGTAAGAAAACAACTTACTTCAATGCAAGAATGGGTAGCTTTGATCATAGGATGTTAACAAACGATGTTGCAACTACATGTACCCATGCCGCCCAGCTGGAGTGGCCATTGCATGTAACAGTAACATGTAGTGAATATGTTCACCAGCGTGAGTCATCCTACCAATTACATTCTTACCTTGGCACTACAAAGTGATTTCAGTGGTAGTAAAACAATAACATAGATTTCTAACATAGCTGGGGTTGATGTGGTTACAACCTCTTTGGTCAAGTGGACAAGGCACCCATTACTAGATCTGATGATCCAAGGTTTGAATCCCGTGGCCACTTCGTTGTCAAATACATTTAAGGGTGTATTGAATCAACTGAAATCCAGTTGGATGTTTTCATAAGGTCTACAGGTTAATCTTTGTTCAAGTATTGTATGTGCATGTTTACTTGTTCCAGGTTTTGAGGAACATGGGGTCCAAATACAGTTCAAGGACACTGAACAACACCTGCCAGAGTTCCATGTTACATGAGATCCCAGAAGACCTGGTTATAGAAATACTCATACATGTTCCAGCCCAAGACGTTGTACACAACTGTGTGCTGGTGTGTCATCAGTTCAGAGATGTTATCTCCAGACCCACACTTTGGAAGAGAAAGTGTGAATTGGAAAAAAAACATATTCCTCATTTTGTGAAACCAGAAGATTTCAAACAGATTTTTTTCTTTAACCCCTATTCAAGAAATTTAATCAAGAATCCATGTGCACAGGGTAAGGTCATTTTTGTGTGTAATGAAGTATGAATATATCTCTGATGTTGAGCCTGCCCCTGCTGGTGCATGTGAGTGAGTGAGTGAGTTTAGTTTTATGCTGCACTCGGCAATATTCCAGCTATACACGGCGGCAGTCTGTAAATAATCGAGTCTGGACCAGACAATCCAGTGATCAACAGCATGCGCCGATGACATGTGTTAACCAAGTCAGCGAGCCTGACCACACGATCCCGTTAGTTGCCTCTTACCACAAGCATGGATTACTGAAGATCAATATTCTAACCTGGACCGTCACGGGTCCCCTGCTGGTGCATGTGTTCTAGAGACAAACAATGTACACATCAACCCATGCTGGTTGTAAGAGCCAAGAAAATTTAAGATTTTGTGGTTACAAAATAGGTGCATGGTGTATCATGGTTATAGTGTGCTTAGTTCCAGAATTGTTGGTCATAATATCACCCACTGTTTTGTCTAATCCAGACGTACTATTTACAGTGTTCAGAGATATGTATGGAATACTGCAGAACAATCAACATGCTGGTTGTTTGTCCCCTCCATTCTCCATCATTGCTGTTATCAGCAAATTGTGTCTCAATCTTTTGGCAAATGTAATCTTGTTGAGAAATATTTTAACAACATTTTCTTTTACTAAAGACGGATTACAGCATTGGAAAGTGATACAAAATGGAGGCAATTATTTTCAAGTGCAGAAAGAGAATCATGGATCTCAAGATGTAACTCAAACAGATATGATTCAAGGTAAACTTTCTTCAGTGAGTGTTGTGTTTTATTCTGTTATAGCACAGATTTCTCAGCTCGGTGTGGGAGGAAAGTGGTGTTGAAACATGTTAATCCTCTTCCTCATGTCTTTGAAATTAGAAAACAACATGACAAATTATTGAATCCAATGACGACGACTTTTAATTCTCTTGTGTATGTTGTTTGTCCTTTCTTCACAAAGTAACCTCCCCTCCACTAGGTTGAATTGTAGCAATCATTGCTTAAAGGTCACATGCAACCAAAAAATCAAACATAATTAAAACACAATTATCACTTCTTCATGACATATAATATGCATTGCTGATTATGAAAAAACAAATAAACAAAATTATAAGCGTACAATCGCAAATCAAAAGTGCAATATTTTGTACTTAGGTTTACCTCCCTCGAAACGAAGCAGCCGGGATACCGAACCCAGTCAGAGCGGGTGGCTGTGCACTCAAGTGTAACGGCTGGTTCATTAGCAGATGCCGCCGGCACATTGTGTGTGTATATATAGAGATGTTGGGTTTTGTAAACATTTTGCAATCAACAGACATCATAACATGTCATGTGTTCAAGTATCACACCTGCCTGTCTGTGTAATTACATAATATGACAGAGACTGAACTCGGGCCATAAATCAATGCGTTTTGTTGATGGTGTATAGCCTGATTGGTGTTAAGTTCAAATTGCATGTGGTCAGTGATTGCAGTTTTGTATTGAATATTGTCATTAGCAGACAGGCAGGCAGACACACAGGTGTCAATAAAACAAGACACTGAGTTTTGTCTGTGACAACGACATATCTATATCACAGTTAGAAATTGTGTCAACGCTAAATAATGACATTGCTTTTAAGTATCGAACTGAGAAAGTGACTCGGTAAGAAGAACGTGTGGTGAAATAGACAAATGAAATTATATAAACAGTTTATTTACCGTCATAACATATAAAAGCTCGCCTGTGAGATATCAACAAAACATTAGAAAAATAGCTCACACCAAAGCCTTCACCGAGTATTCACCAGACAGCCCGCTTCCAAGTTGCGCGAACCTATTTCACTGCGCACGTGCTATGAGCGCAGCCAAGCTGTTGAAACCCGTATTCCCCAGAAAACTCTGGGGAAAATAAGTGAAACGTTTGAACTCCGATTTCGCGCGGTTTTTTTCATCGCGTTATTTTTCAACTTTATAAGTTGAATTTGCATTTTTGACTCTTTGTTTGGGTAAGTCCATACCGAAAGGTATCAGAATCTGCAAAGTTGTGTTTTACGTTGCATGTGACCTTTAATTCCTACACCTAACTACCCGTACACAACCACAGTGGAGTGGACAAGGAGGGCATTCACCATCATAACTTGTTTGTGAGGCATTTAGAAGTTGGAACACCAATAAGGATAACATCATATGGACTGACATTCTTTATTACAGTATGAGCAACGTTTGGTGTACGTTCTAACCACAGACAGGACAAAGTCAGCTCAGTGAACAACAGATATGTGATGTTACTGCCACCTGCATGCAAAGATGTGCACAACAGTGTAATCTTCTGTGACTCACAATGAATTCCATTTTGTAGATGTGCAGGAGACCCTTCTGCAGAGACCACATGACTGACAACAGGCAATATTTCCATTTGTGGAGGGTGGGGTGAAGGGGTGGGGAGGAGGAGAGAAGGATCCATAAATAGTAATCTTATCATTAACAACACTGATTGCTAATTTCTAATAAAAGATGAACTCAAGTATCTAGAGAGCTGCCTGCCATATGACTGCAATCAGAGCTTTCCTGTGAGTTAGATTCTGGAAGAACAGTAGCATCCCCAACAGATCCCAACAAAGGGATGGATTCTGCAGGGAATGAATGGATTCTAATCTCACCCGAGGAGCTGGCAGTTCTTTACAGAAACCAAGACTGAAAACTCCTAGCGTGGAATCTGACCCGAGGAGTTCCCTGACTGCCTGTTAGGAGAGCAGTTTATCTATCACCTCAGGGCACCCACAATGGACATGAAACCCACACAGCAGTCAAGCACAGAACACCAGGCTGATCAAGTTCAGATTAATGAAATTTTCCATAAAATTGGCATTAATAAATGAATTAATAGGCTCTTTTCTTGCAATGAGCATGCGCACAAGGACCCAGAAGAGAAGCGCTAAGAGGCAATCAAACTAAGAGAAGATAATATATGGTAACTGGATAGGATCCATTACCTTTCTTGCACATCACAGCAATCACAGACTACAGCTGTAGGCATATATTCTTCATATTGCAGCAGGTGTCTGTAAGTTTAACATTCATTCAATGGTCTGACTGTGTGAAGTCATTAAACCTGGACATATCCACTAGGTCCATCACAGGAACTGAGGAATTTAGTAGCATTCTGTTGGGATGACTACTACCAGCTTAGATTCACAGTCAACAATTGACGATACAAATTCCTTGGCTCCCAGTTTTTGGACTTGAAGCTCTGTGGTTATTCACCTGTATTCCAACTCTAGTCATCAGTTTTGAAAGCAGACAACATTTTCAGTTAAGTCCGAACAGTTTCAAAGAGGTTAACCAAGAGGGAATAAATGAATACATGCAAGAGAAAGAAATCATGATGTAAGGTGGCTCACAACACTGGATAACAATACGAAGCATATGTCAGTCTGACTGAAAGTCTAACCAGGTTTTTTTTCTGGGGGACAAACTCAACACTGAAAGTTTGATATGAGTGGTCAACAGGAGCTTGACATAGATGCTCACCTACATTCTGCCCATCCAACATCTTCACCAGGGCAATGGGACAATTCACAATAATTGGTCAAAATTGAAAGTACATCATGTCCGATCTCTGTTTTTCTTTGAGCAGTTCTGAAAGCTAGACAACAAGAGACTACTGCAGTGCATGGTGAGAGCTACACATGCTACAAGAGACTACTGCAGTGCATGGTGAGAGCTACACATGCTACAAGAGACAAGTGCAATGCTACAAGAGACGTACTGCAGTGCTAAGTGAGAGCTACACATGCTACAAGAGACTGTACTGCAGTGCATGGTGAGAGCTACACATGCTACAAGAGACTACTGCAGTGCATGGTGAGAGCTACACATGCTACAAGAGACTGTACTGCAGTGCATGGTGAGAGTTACACGTGCTACAAGAGACTGTACTGCAGTGCATGGTGAGAGTTACACATGCTACAAGAGACTACTGCAGTGCTAAGTGAGAGCTACACATGCTACAAGAGACTACTGCAGTGCTAAGTGAGAGCTACACATGCTACAAGAGACTGTACTGCAGTGCATGGTGAGAGCTACACATTCTACAAGAGACTACTGCAGTGCAAGAGACTACTGCAGTGCTATAGTGAGAGCTACACATGCTACAAGAGACTGTACTGCAGTGCATGGTGAGAGCTACACATGCTACAAGAGACTACTGCAGTGCATGGTGAGAGCTACACATGCTACAAAAGACCGTACTGCAGTGCATGGTGAGAGCTACACATGCTACAAGAGACCGTACTGCAGTGCTAAGTGAGAGCTACACATGCTACAAGAGACCGTACTGCAGTGCATGGTGAGAGCTACACATGCTACAAGAGACTGTACTGCAGTGCACGGTGAGAGACATTTCAAAGCAGTCTGGAAAGAAGAGTGATGTCAAACCCAAATTGATGTCGTTGCAACCAGAAGTGATACCACAAACAACAGAAATGACATAACAAAAGTGAGGGCTCTTAGCCCAAGCACAATCAAAGTTCCTGTCACATTGTATCTGATAAAGAAGAAAAAAATGCACACCAACATCTGTGATTGAAAGAAACTAGGCACACCCAAAATTTAGTTAACGGTCCTGGCATATTAACAATATCCCTGACACACCCAATCCAGAATCCAATACAGGGACCAATAAACCCACAAACTGGGAAAATTTAGGACACCATACTGAGCCATATTTCTTAAAGAAAGGTTCAAACAATGCACAGGAGAGGATTAAAATATACTATTCACACTTTGCTAAGGATCAAATCATGGATTCAATAGAAAACTAAGATGTGGGGGTTAAATTTGGTTTAAATATCTAAGCTTATTGTAAGCATGGATCCTAGGTTTCAGTATGCTATTGCATATATACCTGCTATTGACAGGAGTTGTGTACTTGTCAATGACTTGTTCCATGATTTGCAAAGTGGTTGATTGGTGCCATGAAAACCATTTTGATGGTTACTCATGTATCAAGTGCATAAGGTTAGATTAAAATGGCTGTCTGCCTAAAGAGGGGTTACCATGTTATTATTTATCCAGTTTTAAATGGATTCAATTTCAAATTATGAATCTACATTTAAGTAAAGTTGTGAATTTTTGTGATCCTTAGCAAAGTGTGAGTAGTATATGTTATTTCAGGAGTATTTATAAGCCTGTGCTCTACTGTGCATAGTTGTGTGAAGGTAAGATGTGCTTTTAATGATATCTGTTTTATTCTTTCATGTAATGTACAGATTGGTCAGGCCCGGATATAAAGATGTGGGCCACTTCATATCAGGCTTGTGAGAAGACACAGATGATTGACCTGAAGGAGGAGGGTGTACCTCCTGAAGTGTTGGACAACATCAAACCACCAATCTACATCTCCGAGTGGTAGGTTCAGGGGAAAAGGAAAACATTTTATGGATTTGATTTTGGATTAACAGACCCTAGCCAAAATCAGAGCTTGCAGAAGTTATGTAGACTATAAAAAAGCAGAGTTCATCCTGATGTACAGGAATATTCATCCCAAATTACACAGAAAAAATATTTAATAGAAATAATTACTTGCAATTTCAGAAATATATATACTTTTCAACTGTTAATATGTTAGTTGCTTTCAATAATCAAAGTTATTTCATAAGGGACCGTTCATAATTTATGGCTTTTTTGGGGGGGTGGGGGTCACTCATTTTGTTCTGGGGAGCTAGGGGGGTCAGCAATTTTGTACATAAAAATATGTTTAAAATTATGCTCAGGAATTATGGGAAGGGGAGGGGGGTCATTGATTTTGTACATGACATGCAAGGGGGGTCACTTATTTTGTACATAAATTTTAGGGGGGGTCATTCTCATTGTACATGCTTCTCCATAAAAATCATCACCATCCCCCCTAGCCATAAATTATGAACGGTCCCTAATTAGACACTTTGAAAATGTAAGTTAAATCTCTTTGGTTGTAATCAGGGAATTTTGTTCTAAATATGTATAGATACAGACATCCGCTCATTCACACAATCAGCTCATTGCTGCCAAGAGGTTAGTGTAACTGAAAGGCTGTCCTGATCTACTCCAGGCACACTTGTCCTGATGTCCAGTTTTGGATTCATTTCTCAGTGTTACAAAAAGAATGGAGAAAAAGTAATTTAGATAATTATCTTAATGCCCCGGGAGGCTTAAGTAGCAATGAAACGTCAGGAAGATGCATGGCTTCCTGCATACATTGGGCTACAGTTTGAGGGGCATCACATGCAGCATTTGTACAAATGCTGAAAATCCATTTCCTTGTTATAAGCCCAGAATACTGAAATCCACTTTTTCAGGGAATGCCCAAGACATCTAATTTTGGGAGTCACCATGAATCAAAGGCAGATATTTGAGAGTCATATTATATTTCTTTTTAAATCATTTCATTTGAAACATGTACTTTTGTATATGCAACTAGATTGATTAAACCTTGTTTTATGCAGCTATTTAACACCAGATTTAGGAAATGAAAAGGTCGAACAACGATGATACTTCTGAAATTTCTTATTATAAGATGCCATTAATTTGAAGATTCAGAAAATCGTATTATGTTGGTGATCTTGTGAGGGTGGGGGCTTCTTTAGATTGTCCTTTTGTTCCTGCTATGATCTTTACCCTTCAGTAACATACCATTTATTTTGTTCTAAAGAAGTTAGTTATATCCTTTGGTCAGGACTGTATGAAATCTGAATTGGTATTGAAACATACACTGCATACACGACACTTTAAACACGTGACACCACTGTTTTCATTACAGCATTGACAAGTATCTGATTACTATGATTTTATGGAACAAGGCCTTGGCTGTCTCCTTATTGAAGGTACGCTGCCCGATTTGACTGCGCCTGTCACTATGAGTTGGAGGCGAGACTGCTGTCTGGGAGCAAGAAACAACTGGACAGATTCACCTTTGAGGATGATGTCCCACAGTGGACTGAAGGAGAGTGGATAAAGGTACTTCATACAGCAACACCTTCTCTTCCCAGTGTGAGAGGTACAGCTGAAAAAGAAATTCTTCCAACCAGTTGTTACAATCAATCTCCACTATACCCTGGATGCATCCACGGCTTGGCCCGATAATTTTATTACCTCCCTTGGCTGGCTCCGCATTCTCACAGTAGCCAATCAGCTAAGCCACTGTTGCCAGTGTCAACAAAGATAGCGGTCGCAGTCACAAAGGTTTGTTTGCAGTGCCACTCATATTTTTGGGGAAATAATACTAACAAATTGACAGATCTGAAACTTAACAAAAATATATGAAAGAACTCCTTCTACCTCTATCAGAGTACCTCTACATCAGTTGTGTTGCCAAGTTTTAACGGTTAGATAATTTATGAAGTGAAAGTGAGTTGTGATTGGTACGCTCATCTTCCCAGCGTAGACACCTGATTAGACAAAAAGCCAGCCAAGGGAGGTAATAAAATCATCAGGCCAAGCCATGGATGCATCCAGGGTATAGTGGAGATTGTGGAGATAGTGGATATACCCTGGAGATTATCAAGGATGCCTGTAAACAAGTTGTTTAAAGAAATTGCTGCACTGATTTTCAAACTGTCTGCCTGGGGTATTTTTTGTTGACATTCTTATGTGTGTTTATTCTTCCAGAATTTGTAAGTGTTTGCATGTTTTATAACATGTTTCTTATCTGCACAAGCATTCATGTTTTAGCTAAAATTTTCAAGTGTTTTGTTGTTTGAGCCATCATTTTGGATTTCTATCTGTTTTTTTTTTTTAAGTTTTACATAAATTTTCCTTGGTATGGATCGATATGTATTTTTTACACTCCCTTAAACTTCTTGTCCCATGCAACACAGTTTGAGGATTTTATTTTGGACTTTGTCTGTGCAAATTCATCTTTTCTAGAGCAGAACATAATAAACATTCAATATTTCTGTCAAACTTTGCACATACATAGGCCTGGTGATGAACCTTTTGGTTGTTTGGGATTTCTGAATAAAATATTTTTTGCGTTTCTATGGCAACAACTTTGACTTTGGCTAAAATTGGTGGTAGTCTTCTTTTCCGGAGCTTAACTCTAAAACCGTTCACTATTTCTTCACCAAACTTGGCACATAGATAGATCTGGTGGTGAACAGGTGCCTTTGAGTAGTTTTGGATTTCTAAATAAAATATTTTTTTGTATTTCCATGGCAACAAGTTTTACTTAGACTGAAATTGATGTTGGTGCTCTTTTCTGGAGCAGAAACTTTAAAACCTTTCAATACTCTCCTTCCACTTTGTGGGTATTCAAGAACCTAATGACATAAATCAACAGTACCACTCTATTTTCAGTATCAACATTACTAAGGTACGTCAAACCGTGACCGCCTCCGTGGTGTAGTGGTTAGAGCGTCCACCCGGAGAGCGGAAGGTCGTGGGTTCGATCCCCGACTGCGTCATACCAAAAGACGTTAAAAAAATGGTACTTGTTGGTCCCTGCCTGGCGTTCAGCATTAATGGGTACAACAAGGACTGGTCGGCTCAGAGTCAGTATACTGTGTCTGAGTGGGGTATTCATGCTTCACTGCGGCATGGTATCTCAGTGAGCTAGCACTATCAAACCAGCTTAAGTCTGGGCTAGTACAAGCAGCCGCACCTACACATACACACGCATGCACGTCGTCATATGAGCGAAATATTCTCAAGCACGACGTTAAACCCAATTTCACCTCACCTACATCAAACCGTGGAAGCACTCAGGCAGTCTGTTGTTGATACAAGCATGCCACAAGCATCACAAGATCAATGTGAAGAACAATGTAACATTTGAGTCATAACCAGTTGACATATTTTACGATTTACCATTGCGGGGGATATTGATGACTTTTTCTTGTTATATCTTTTCAGCTGTTCACCTGTATTATTTGTCAAAATTCCATCAAGACAAATATTTGACAACACTTTTATTTCCCCATGTTTTTGGTTTATGTTTGCCTTTCGCAATACTTCTGCTTAAATTGCAGATTTATGCTCTTCCGTTGTCAAAAATGTCTATGAAAACATCCCCACTGCTTTGACTGTATAGGTGTCTCCTTGATGAGTTAACAGCAACATAGTTGTGCCTCTCTCTTTTCCTTGCTTCAACAAACACCTGCAGGTAACTCATCACAATAGGAAGATGGTATCATTCCCGGAAGTTATCACAGTTCTTCAGCTGTTCCGTTATCCTAGGCACCTCTGAATGTGCAGTAGTCGAGTGCACTACAGTGCTCTAATGACTGGCGCCAGCTATTCAAGGCCCTAGATTTTCGAAGCTCTCTTAGCGTTAAGATAGTCGTAAGTTAATGTTAATGCATGGCACTTAAGACTATCTTAGCACTAAGAGAGCTTCGAAAATCTAGGCCCTGCTTCCTCCCGCACCTGTAGCCTTCCAACAGATGCCGCCTCCTTCTATGGACACATTCTGGATGCATGTGTTGATGTTGATCTTCCCTGGGATGGGTCTGGGCATGATGTTGCAATTCAGACCGTCAAATAGATCATAAAGTTCCCTCGCAACAAGGACTTGGGAGTGGGTTCCCCTGAGCCTGTTGATAATAATTATGATAATATGGCCACTTCCATAGCGCTGAACTCCACACAGCAGGGACATGCTGTAAGCACATACAACATGCTGGACATTATAGCACTGGGTAACCCAAGCTGCCTGTGAGGGGCTAGAAGGTTAATAGTCACATGACTTATACCACCGGGTACCCATACAGCACTGAACTCCACACAGCAGGGACATGCTGTAAGCACATACAACATGCTGGACATTATAGCCCTGGGTAACCCAAGCTGCCTGTGAGGCACTAGAAGGTTAATAGTCACATGACTTATACCACCGGGTACCCATTCACTGCTGGGTGAACAGAGGCAATTTTAAACCAACTCAAGTGATTGAATAGCTGTACTGCCTCCAGAATCTAACATCCAGAGACCTGATCCATTTTGTCTTCAAGATGATCACCGCATCCAGTGAGTGATGCATCGGTGAAGAGGTAGCTATCAGGCAGAAGCATCCTCATTGGAGTCCCATGGATGAGGTTGGGAATAATCCACCATGCATGGTCCTTGAACACTAGATTGTCTGCATGGTTTCATGAGTTTTGCTGATTTGTGATCACTGATTGGTTGATTTTTATTCTACTTTTCAAACCATAGTGAAAAAACTAGCTGGTGATAAAATTAAATGCTACCACACCACACCACACCACACCACACCACACCACACCAATTATTCTTAAGAATGAAATAACAACAAACAATACCAAAACATCATATTTTGTCCATGGTACAATATTTGTTTAAGAAATAGTAGAATAATTCTGTTTAATAGGATGTGTTGAAATTTATGATCCCTGTTTTCGTTTTCAGGTGGAGCATATATTTCCCCGACTATAAGACAGGCGTTAGGTTTATTGAATTCCGCCATCTTGGTGTTGACAAGCAGTTTTGGGCTGGACATTATGGACCAAAGTTTACTCTCTCAACTGTGAAATTTTCATTTGAAATGAATACATAGTGAAGTTCTTCAAAGACATTTAGAGGTTGGACGAACATGAATACATGACACGTTTCATGAATAACAACTTCTCCCAGTGTATACTTCCTTTGTTCTATAATCATCAGCTTGGTCTTACATTGTAATACTGTCTATCTCATTGGCTTCATCCTTACATTGTTATCTTTGTACATTAATCCTATTTTTATTGTCTCCAACCATGTTTTATCTAAATTTATATATATTCACTCTGTGCACTACTCGGTATTCACCTGATGAAGGAGCAAGAATTAGTTCTGAAATGTTGGATAAAGAAGTTATCCATAAAACGTGCCATGTATTTATGAATACATAGCGTCCATTAGTTACCATGGTAACGGCAAGCATGAGATGTTTAGCAATGGACAACATGTCTATATTTCAAAATGTTGTATCTGTGCGACTGAATGAGTTTTAAAGGGCCACTGATCCAGAGCAATTTCCGTGGACTGGTTGTTGCTTTTGTTATTGTTTTTCTCCAGTGAGTACCCGGATGATATCCCAGAATTCATGACTGGTTCGTTACCTCTGCTGCGCCACCCTCATGCGCAATTGATAGTATAAGTATAGACTGATCAACATGAAATCTTTTTTGTTCGATAATCTTATGTTGATTTTGTTGTAAAATTATGTACACTTTGATGAATAATTTGGTTTCTTATAAAAAAAATATTCACTTTGATAAAAATGCTGATTTTGATGCAATATTTTCATTTTATTGTAATGTTGACTTTATAAAAATGTTAACGTAAATGGATGAAGAATTTGATTTAAGAAATAGTTTGACCTTGAATTTGGTGAGAAGCCTGATACAATAGCGTTGTTTTGAAAGTAAGGCTAACTAAGTACATGGGGAGTCTTGGGGAAAGTAGTGAGCTTGGGTTCACTACTAGTCAATCTGAATGTTGTATTAAATGGCATTATTTTGATAACAAATGAAAACATTTTAAATGTTAGGACTGAAATAACGAAGTCAATGTACATCTTTATATTTTGTCTTATAATCCTAATTAGTTTATTATTATATTTGTATGCATTTTGAAACTTAATAAAATGCACACGATCTGCTTATACTTAGTGAATTTATAACATGATTGTAATATCTAGACATTTTGCCAGATTAGACAGATTGCCAACGTGTATCATATTTCACACACACGTCCTGAGTGCGACCTAGTGTATGTGGTCTGTCTCATTACATTTCACAGCAAAAACAAAATGATTCTGTTGAATGCCATAACAAATAAATACAAACAAAATGCAAATATTAAAATTAAAACAGATTAAAGTTATAGCAACAATATCAGGCTATTACCTTGTTCGGGGAATGTATCCATCAATATCCACATAAAGGAATGAGATGCCATTCATCTGCAGCTGACAAAATATCCTGTTCCATGTCATGTGTCTTTCAACAGTCTAATATGCGAAAAAGTGATCTATCGTTTCAGGTTTTTTACATTGGTGTATAGTCCCATTGGTCACCCAAGATAGCACACCTGGCAACTAATTGCATGATGTCCGCCGTTCTTTAAAAAAGTAATTTAGTTAGCCAATAATGAGCAATCAATCAATGTATTGGCGGTTAATCCTTTGAAGGAAGGACGTTGTTTTTACAAAGAAACTTTACGACAGGGTGTATTCAGTATAGATTAGTAAATCTACATACATAAACACTACCTTTTGACAAATCCACTTTGCAGGATAAAAGCAATTAGTCAATCAGCGTGTTATCGGTTAATCCTTTGATCGATGTTTGTTTTGTAACTCAGCTGATAATTCCTCTTACTGCACTTCCATGCGCATATTACATAAGATGTAATACATTTGCCACATCAGACCTCAATTTATAATGATGAGTATTTACTCCAGACACAAGAAATGCCAAATGGGAACCTTTGTCGGGTAATCTGAGTGGTGTTATCACTAATTATACATATTATAAATTCATAAACTGACCATCAAGTGAATGATGACAAATAACATGTGTAGGTTTACCACCAAACAAGGGTTACAGCAAGAGAGTAGTAATCCCTGTATTACATGCAAGTTTGATTGCCTGGAAAAAAACCTTATGGGCAGACACTGTTTTGAGGATACAAACGGAACTTCATTGTTACATAAGAAATATATATAAGCATTTGCTGTGTACTTAGGTACATAGGTATATACAGATTTTAACTAAGTAAAATTTCAGATTATTTTGCAATGGCAAAGTGGGGTTCTTTAGTTTATGGATTCAGATATATCAAATGTGTGTTTTTGATATCATAGCATACATACCAGACGCCATATTTTTACATGATTAAATATTGAGGTAAAAAACACAGAAATAGGATCAAATTGGATCAGTCACTATATGGGGCGGTGGGGTAGCCTAGTGGTTAAAGCGTTGGCTCGTCACGGCGAAGACCCGGGTTCGATTCCCCACATAGGCACAATGTGTTAAGCCCATTTCTGGTGTCCCCTGCCGTGATATTGCTGGAATATTGCTAAAAGCGGCGTAAAACTAAACTCAGTCAGTCAGTCAGTCACTATACCATCCAAACATTTGAAAATCTGAAAAAGCCTACACTGCTGGGATACTTTATTACAATCAAACAAGAACTACAGGGGATAATTTCAAATAACGGCATCTGATGGGCATCCACCCTTCCTAATGTCCCACTGATTAGGTTGAAGAAATTCTGCCAGGGTGGACAGTAGCCAAGTCCCCATGTCCGTCACGGTCGAGGAAGCAGAGGCTGACCAGTTTGCAGCTAGGTTTCGTAATTAGACTGTTGGCTGGAAACAATAATCGCTCTGGATCAGAGGCCATTTAAGGATGGGAAGTTGTTGTTATGGAACATTGCCTGTTAAAGAAACGTGAAAGTGGTAGTTTCATTTTGTTGTTGACAATTTGTGTTGCTGTCAGTATTACTTGATTCAATTTATCATAGATTTGGTGCCACAAATCCTCTTGTGATAATCACTGTTAATATTATAAGTATTTGATTTGCCAGATGTTTCTCTTGTGTGATAATGTCAATAAATATTCAATGTAATGTTGGACTGTTCTATGTACAGTACAACCAGAAATTATTGAGAATTTAAGATTGTATTTTTCCCCCTCTCATTACTCACGTATTAAATGTGAATATTAGCAGAACATAACTCCAGATTTAAAGACAGGTGAACAGTTAGTATTTTGTCAAGTCACCATGGGCAGCAATGCAGGCTTCAATGCGGCCGGGCATACTACTGATCGAAGAAGTTAGAAAGTCGTGGTCCATGCTGTCCCAATATCAGACAACCTCTTCTTTCATTTCAGCAATATTTGTCAGATTTTTCTTATTGACACGGGCGTGGGGTAGGCTAGTGGTTAAAGACCGTTCGATTCACATTACACAAAGACCCGGTCTGGAATCCCCACATGGGTACATTGTGTGAAGCTCATTTCTGGTGTCCTATACCGCCATGATATTGCTGGAATATTGCTACAAAGCGTAAAACCAAACTCACTCATTCAATTTCAAATAACGGCATCTGATGGGCAGCCACCCTTCCTAATGTCCCACTGATTAGGTTGAAGAAATTCTGCCAAGGTGGACAGTAGCCCAGTCCCCATGTCCGTCACGGTCGAGGAAGCAGAGGCTGACCAGTTTGCAGCTAGGTTTCGTAATTAGACTGTTGGCTGGAAACAATAATCGCTCTGGATCAGAGGCCATTTAAGGATGGGAAGTTGTTGTTATGGAACATTGCCTGTTAAAGAAACGTGAAAGTGGTAGTTTCATTTTGTTGTTGACAATTTGTGTTGCTGTCAGTATTACTTGATTCAATTTATCATAGATTTGGTGCCACAAATCCTCTTGTGATAATCACTGTTAATATTATAAGTATTTGATTTGCCAGATGTTTCTCTTGTGTGATAATGTCAATAAATATTCAATGTAATGTTGGACTGTTCTATGTACAGTACAACCAGAAATTATTGAGAATTTAAGATTGTATTTTTCCCCCCTCTCATTACTCACGTATTAAATGTGAATATTAGCAGAACATAACTCCAGATTTAAAGACAGGTGAACAGTTAGTATTTTGTCAAGTCACCATGGGCAGCAATGCAGGCTTCAATGCGGCGGGGCATACTACTGATCGAAGAAGTTAGAAAGTCGTGGTCCATGCTGTCTCAATATCAGACAACCTCTTCTTTCATTTCAGCAATATTTGTCAGATTTTTCTTATTGACACGGGGCGGTGGGGTAGGCTAGTGGTTAAAGCGTTCGCTCGTCACGCCGAAGACCCGGGTTCGAATCCCCACATGGGTACATTGTGTGAAGCTCATTTCTGGTGTCCCCCGCCATGATATTGCTGGAATATTGCTAAAAGCGGCGTAAAACCAAACTCACTCATTCACTCACTCTTATTGACACTTTCCTTCATAAGTCCCCAAACATTTTCTATTGGATTTAGGCCAGGGCTATAGCTTGGTCAATCTAATAATGTCATATATTTTGGGTCCGAAATCAGGCCTGTGAATGCTTTGAATGATGTTTTGGGTCGTTGTCCTGCTGGAAAATCCAAAAAATTTCCATAGAACACATGAGCAGATGGAAGTAAATGTCCCATAAGAATATCGCTCACTGTTCATATTCCCTTCAAATACACTGAGGGGCGTTGCCCCTAACACAGGTATGCCACTCCCACACGTTAAATTTCGGATTATACTTTGGGCGCTGATACAAAGGTTTTTCAGTTTGTTTGGTCCAGAATTTCAGTGTATGAGGAAACAGTCACACAGAACTTTCATCTGAGAAAATCACATTGTCCCAGTTAAAGTTTCTATGCTGTAAGCACCAGTTCAACCTTCGCTTCTTTTGTTCATGTTTCATGATTGGTGATGGAATTCCTCGACTTTTCTGCCGACCCATTGTGTGCAGCTCAGTTCTAATTGTCTCCTTACAGACAGCCACAGTTCCTCTATCAATCATATACAGCCTTAAGTTTTCTAAACTCCTTCGTTTGTTTTTAGAAACAAGAATACCAAGCCGCCTCCTGTCACTGACAGTCAATTTTCTGGGCCTACCTGCGCCTCTCTGGTGCTCAATGCCATATCCATTTGCAATATTTTTCAAAACACGATAAACAGTGGACAAAGGGATGCCTGTTCTACTTGAAATCACTTTAGCTGATCTGATGTCCTTGTTATAATACTCTAAAATCAACTTCCTCTTCTCTAAATCATCCATACTGAGGATCACTGAAAATGTCGTCTGCTAGCAAGTAAACAAAGGGGGATAACCCTTTACAAACTAATGAAAAAGGAACAACGGAACTGTCTCTCTTGAATGAAACCAAGCACTTGATAGCTGGTCGAGGTTGTTTATACTAGAAATCCAATTAAACATATTACTAAAATTGTCAATAATTTCTGGTCATACTATACTCTCCCCAAAAAGAAATGCATATAGGAATTTCAACTGTATTTGTATGTTTATTTTGAAACATCTTGTAG